CTTGTTTGCCGCTTAGTCTGGATTGCCGCCCCCAGGAGGAGGAGGAGGAAGAAGAGGAGGAGGAGGAGGAGGAGGAGGAGCAGGAGGAGGCTCCCAGCGCTGACTACCTTGCCTCCTTCGTATCCGCTTTGCCCCACCGTCTCCTTCTCATCCTCTGCCCCGTCCCCGTCTGGTTCCCCCCTTCCCTTCGCCCTCCCCTCTCCCTCCTGCCTCCCTCCTCCTTCCTGCATCCTCCCTCCTCCCTACCCTCAGCCCTCCTCCTCCTGCTCCTCCTCCTGCTCGCTCTACCTCCTTACTCTCCCTTCCGTTCTCCTTGCTACTTCCTCCCCCTTCCTGGTCCCTCCTCCGTTCTCCGTCCTTCATTCTCCCCCATCCCTCCTTCCTCTTTCCTCCAGCCCCTTTCTTCCCGCTGCACATGACCGCGCCTCAGGCCGCGTGGGGTCGGAGCACAATTTTTTTCCATGCTCCGGGCGCGGTAACATACTCCATATTATACCCTGACCTCCGACGCCGCGTTTTTGTCCACGATGTGTCCCAGATACGCAGAGGAGAAGATACCGACGCCGAGGCGCTTCCATCGTACTCGCCTCTTTTGCCTCCCAGGCAACCCCTGATCGCCACTGCTGGATCCGCCTCGGGGTTCTGACGAGAACGCTCCCTGGAGAGGCCAAGGGAGTAGCTGCATCGGTATCCCTTGGCTCCTTTGGTCCCCCCTTCTCACTCCTCGGGGAGCTCTCGACCCCATCCCCTCGACTGGCCCTCTGCTGCGGTGTCGATCTCTGACGACCCTGGGGCCCGTGCAAGGTTGTCACAGGTTCCAAGCGCGCCCTCGAGGGCGCGAAGCTGTGCGCGCTTCGCGCTTCGCGGCTCGGTTCCGATTCCTCCTCCTCCTCCTCCTCCTCTCCTCCCCTGGGGGGCGGCGCGAGAGCGCGAAGGCATTCGCACCTCGCGCTTCGCGCAGCGCGAAGCGCGAAGTTGGGAGCCCTTGCCTCCAGGGTGCCCTGGGTTTCGTGGGCTTCGGTGGCTTTGTGAGGGGGAGCGCGACGCTCCCGCGCCAAAAGTCCGTGGACGTCCTGGGGGAGCCCTTGGTGAAGGATCGCCCGCCTTGCGTCTGTGCGGGTGTCGCCAAAGCCGCCCCCTGGCCCCTGCACGGCGCAGGCTCAGCCATGCGCATGGGGAGGGGGAGGAGGAGGAGGAGGAGGAGGAGGAGGAGGAGGAGGAGGAGGAGGAGGAGGAGGAGGAGGAGGAGGAGGAGGAGGAGGAGGAGGGAGGAGGAGGAGGAGGAGGAGGAGGAGGAGGAGGAGGAGGAGGAGGAGGAGGAGGAGGAGGAGGAGGAGGAGGAGGGAGGAGGAGGAGGAGGAGGGGAGGAGGAGGAGGAGGAGGAGGAGGAGGAGGATAAGGGTGCAGCCCTCTCGGGGAGGCCGCGCGGCGGCCTCCGGAGAGCGCGCCGCGCGGGGCGCCCGGAGGGGCCCCCGCGGCTCCAGCGTGGCGCCGAGGGCGCGGGTGGGGGGTGGACAGACCTCCTGCCCTGACACGTCGATGAGTGAGTTGTCCGTTTTCGGTTCTCGAGAGGGGGCCGCGGCCGTCATTTTCCAGGCTTGCGCCCGCCAGGTTTGGGCCCGAGGTCGTTCTCACTCAACCACGTTTTACTAAAGGGAGGTCTGTCCATCCCCGAGCGGGGGGACGTTGAGCTTGAGTCGGGCATGTCCCTCTGCAGGAGGATTCTCCAACAGAAGTAATCCAAGACGTAGTCTGGGGACGATTTTTCGACCATTTTTGATTATTTTGGGATGTTCCTTGACTATCTGTCACTTCTCGTCCAAAATCCGCCTGTAGGAGGACGTGCCCGACCTGACCTTGGGCCAGAGACGCCTCTGGCAGACTCCAGGTTTCCCGCGTGGCGCCGGAGGTCGGGGGCCGTAGCACTCTGATACTCTTCGCAGCGGCGCCCTGCCATGAGGACGCCCGCCAGAGGGGGGAGCGGCCCAGCAGGTCGGCTCAGGGGCAGCTGGCGGTTTAGAGGTGGTCGACAGGCGGATTGGCGCCAGGCCTTTGGCGCGCTACGCGCGCCAGGGAGGGGAGTCCACCAACGATCCAGAGTTTGTGCTGTGCGTTTTCCCCCAGATGGAGGAGGAGGAGGAGGAGGAGGAGGAGGAGGAGGAGGAGGCCTGTGGGCTGGGGCCCTGAGGGCGAGGACCTCAAGCAGCTTAGTGTTCCGCCCGTGAGCCACCTCCTGTCCTCGGGGCCCCATCCCTCGGGAGCCCATCTCTGAACCGCCCGGGCGGGGGTCGGAGAGGCCAGGAGGGATAGGGGGAGCGCGGGCATCGTCGGTCTAGGCCTCCTACAGGGGGCCCGAGTAGATGGGGTAGGACTGGATCGCGCCGCATCGCCGATGCGTCGGCGATGCGGCTCGAGGCGAAGCCCGATTTTATCCACGCCGACGTCGCCGATGCGTCGCCGACGTCGCCGATGCATCGCCAGTGCATCGCCGCTGCATCGGCGATGCATCGGAGATGCGGCGCGATCCTCCGACCCCATCTTCTAGGACCCCATCCAGGAGGCATCTGGTCGGGCGGGCGGGGGGCGGGGAGGGGCGCCGCAGGGAGGATGGGCAGGCTTGGCTCGTCGTCGTCGTCGTCGGAGGAGGAGGAGGAAAAGGGGGAGGAGGAGGTGGAGGAGGAGGAGGAGGAGGAGGAGGAGAAGTTGGAGGAGGAGGTGGAGGAGGAGGAGGAAGAGGAGGTGGAGGAGGAGGAAGAGGACCAGTGTAAGCCCAAAAGTCATTAACGATGTTGGAAGAAGTCCTCCCTCCAAGCTCCCTCTTCATAGGCCCTTACAACTGACCCTTTGGCAGACAACCGTTTTAAGACCCTGAAGCATGCTAAACCATTGTTCTCGGGATTCTAATGCCACGGATAAACCTGACTGGTTGCGTCTTGACAATCCTGAATCATGCCAGAACGCCATTCTGAGACTTCAACACAGCTAACCAACACAACTGTTGCACCCGCATAATCCTGAATCTTTCAAAACACCACTTCTGGCACGTTGATGATGGGACGCCGGGAGACCATTGCAAACTTTGTAAGCGAATGTGCGCGGCGCTAAGGCGATAGCCACATTTTGAAAACGACCCGCCCTTCATCCGTGAAGCTCTTGTAAATAAACAACGAGTTTGCGCCGCGCAAACGCGATGGCCACATTTTGAAAACGACCCGCCCTCAACCCGTGAAACTCCAACATTTTTTTTTAAAAACCAATTTGTGCGCCGCGCTCAGGCGAGAGCCACATTTTGAAAACGACCCGATGGCTGATGGCGGCAGGGCCGCATCCTGAGTGATGCTCGAGGGCCCGGCTGCCGCGCGCACGGTCTTTGCGCCTGCTCCCCCTCGTCGCCGCGCGCGAGGCAGGTGCCGCCCAAAGCGTGTGTGTGTGTGTGTGTGCCCCGCCCCGACGGCGGCGTCTTGGGCGCGCTGGTGGGCCGCCCCACTGTTGCCGCTGGCCCAGGGCCTGCCGCTGCGATTTCGGAGGATGCCGCCAGACACGCCTCACCCTGGAGAGGTCGCCGGAGTGGCCCAGATCCCACCCGAGGGCAAGGAGCGGCTGTGGGTTAATCCCAGGCCCTCCCCAGACGGCCCACCCGGTCCACCGGGCAGGGATGACGGCCGTCCGCATGTGCCTGACGCGCGCACCCGGGCTCGCCACCCTGGAGCTCGCCTTGGGCGCTTGCAATATCGCCTCCCTCTCGGCCCGTGCCGCCGACATCGACGCTGGAGGCCGCGGCGCCAACTGGGGGGCTCACTGCCAGCGCTTACAGCACGGTCAAGTCATTCGACCAATCAGATTCGAGGAACTGCGAAAGTACTCCAGCAACTGCCGTTGAACGTTACCATCTTCAAGTTAAAAACTAGACGCCTCGGCGCTGGTTGCCGACTCTGTCGGTCCTTCGGGTTGCATACGCGTCTACGCCGACGACATTGCAGTAGTACTTCTCCGACTTATTGCTCAAGCGCCTCTTGTCGCTCGGCTGTTCCTCATGTGGTTCCGCATAGCGGCACTGGACATCTGGCACGACAAGTGTGTCTTCGTGCCGCTTTGGACGACTGATCTTCTGCGAGCTCGCATGGTCATCATGGACGACCTCCCCTTCTGGGCGGGCTTGTTGGTGTCCCTCGCTGCCAAGTACCTCGGCTTCTACATCGGCCCCGAGGCCTACCAGCAGGAATGGGCGGCGGCAGAAACTAAGTACAGTGATCGTGCACGTCACCTACTCCGAGTTGATGAAGGCATCACGGCTACCATGACACTACATAACGTCCATGCCCTTCCCGTCCTCTACTACATCGCCCAGCTACGTGACGCCCCCCCGCATCTCCTTGCACTTCAAGACCGCGCAGTAGAACGGCTGACACGAGGATCTCGCTATTGGCCCCCTCCCTCCGCCGCCTACCACATGGACACCCTCTTTGGCATGCCGCTTACCTTCCATAGGTTCCGGGACATGGAGTTGGCGATCAAGCTACGTGTATTATCCTCCTCCGGGCGACGCTGGCGCGAACACCTCCGTGAACTACGAGCCCTGCAACTACACGACGAGCAGCGAGCACGCCCACCATCTCGACCGTGGCTGGATCGCTCGGCCGTCTGCGCCCTCGAACATGCCGTATTGGTTGCCGAAGACTTACTTCCACGCCTCCGGCTTCACGACCTACTCTACAGTGGTCAGCTCGGCGCCTACCGGCGCATTCGTGCAGCACGTGGCCATCCGCATCTCGAACATCTCCTCCGTGAGCGCTGGGCCAAACGTTGGCCCGCCCTCCTTGTCCCCTTGGGCTCGGCGGTTCGTAGCGCGTGCCGTTGTCTAGACGCTCATGGCTCCTCCCTCCCCCCTTTTTGCTCTTTGCCGTCATTTGCACTTGGTTTAACGGCTGGTGTACAGACCGCCGGTTCCTGCGTGTTGGACGATGCCATTTTTGTCAAGGTCCAACGGACGCACTCGAGCACATTGCCAGCTGTTGTTCAGGCATTTCCTCGGCACTTCGCACAATTCGTTTGTAGAGTTCCTCGGACTCGGTGCCGACAGGGACCATTTCCAGAGACATGCGCTTGGGTTACACGCGACCAAAACGGCCTTGGAGCACCGTCGGCTCAGCTCTGGCCCGGCGGTCTGCTCGATGCCCGCCCTCTTTCGGGCTGCCCTGCAAGCGTCGGCTCGTAAGTGGCCCCGCGCCCGGCAGCTCGTCGTAAGGTGGACGCTGCCTCCGGCTACGCCCGACTGCTTCTTCTCGACGGTTGAATCGTTAAACCGTCGCGTTCCAGTTTTTGCCGCGTGGCTGTGCTTGGCCGTTTTGGTGTTAAACCGCCAGGCTGCTGTTTTTGCTCATGTTGTTGTTGATCTCTGTCTGTAGGTGTGCACGCCCGTGCCTGGGGTGGCCAATCAGACCCGCTTGGTCCCCTTTTCTTCGGTCCGCGGCGCTATGTTGTTGCGTGCCGAGGGATTGCAAGCAATTGATTGCGTGGGATGGCATATATCGGGCTCCATACCTCGTTTCGTGGGGGGGGGGGGGGGAAAACGCCTCGGCGCTGGCATCGCCGCCCCAGGAGGCGAGGGCCTCCTCGATCTTCTTGGCGGGCTCGGCGTCGGCGTTCTGCTCCATGAGCTGCGCCGCGGACTCGAGCGTGACGGCGGTGCGCTTGTCGCCGCTGCCGAAACCCACGAACGCCATGGCCTCCTCCTCCTCCGAGTCGGGGCCGGCGGGAGTGTCCTGGCACGCCGCAGCCGCTGGAGGGCTTGGCGCGGCGAAAAGCGGTGGCGCCTGTAGGGGTGCGGCCTTTGCCCGCGGCGGCGGCTGCTGGTACTGCGGCGCGGCGGTGCCCTGCGCTGCTGGCATGTTTGGTGCTGCCGTGGCCTGCTCGTGCTGCTGCTGCCGCAGCGTGTCGAGCGTGGAGGCCAAGGATTGCGCCCTCCCGTGCAGCTCATGGGGGCGACGCGCCGCCCGTCGGGATCGTGGCCTGCAGCGTGGCGTTGACCAGCTCGGAGATGTCGCTCTGCGCAGTGGCCTCCTGCGCCGCCGCTGACGCGGCCGTGGCGCGCTGGGCCTCCCAGCACCTGCAGCTCCTCCTTCGCGTCGGCGATCTCCTTCGTGCGGCTCTGGTACGCGGCGGCCCGCGTGGGGATCTGCGCGGGGGTTGCCTGGCGGTCGGCTTCCAGGTCGTCGATTTTGGCTTGATGGCGGTAATCTGCCCGCTGGGCGATTGCGCCTGCTGGTCCAGGCTCTTACCGCGAAGCGTTTCTATCTTCGCGTGCTTGAGAACTTACAAGGCGTCGTTGATCTTTTTGGCCTGGGCCCCGACCCACTTGCGCCAGAACGTGACCTGCGCCTGGGCCAGGGCGACGGGGTCTGGCTGCTTGCGGCTGGTGTCGGGCTCGGCGTCGGCTTGGTCGTTGGAGTCGGGCTCGAAGTGAACCCGCTGCTGCCACTCTCCTCGCTGACCGCGAGGCTGCCGAGATGCTGGGTGGCTCGAACCACGGTGATACGACGCGTGCTGCGGCTTCTTGGGCGACGTGCCAAAGCGAAACCAAGCCTTGGCGTTGGCCCACTCCCAGCCTTTGCAGCCAGCCTTGGCGCACACCAGGTAGCGATGGCGAGCAGCCATGCCACGAAACAACAGTGGCGGGTGGGCCAGGAACACACAGCTGTGCGGTTAATCGTTGCGCTGCGCTGGAGCGCTGCGCTCCAGAAGCTCTCGGACCTTGGCTACGGAGGCAGCCGAAGCTAGTCGCTGATTCTCGGGCGTCTATAGCCCTTCACAACTTAAAGCCTTGAACCATAATGGCAACGGGGGAGGAGGAGGAAGCGGAGGAGGAGAAGGAGGAGGAGGATGAGGAGGATGATGAGGAGGAGGAACAGGAAAAGGAGGAAGAGGAGAAGGAGGAGGAGGAGAAGGAGGAGGAGGAGGCGACGAAGGAGGAGGAGGAGTAGGAGGAAAAGGAGGAGGAGGAGACGAAGGCGGAGGAGGATGAGGCTGATGATGATGATGATGATGAGGCTGATGATTTAGATGATGATAATAATGATGATGATGATGACGAGGACGATGATGATGATGGTGATGATGATGGTGATGGTGATGGTGATGATGATGGTGATGGTGATGATGATGAGGATGCTGATGATGATGATGATGATGCTGATGCTGATGAGGATGATGATGATGCTGATGCTGCTGCGGATGCTGATGCTGATTATGATGATGATGATGATGATGATGGTGATGATGATGATGTTGATGATGATGCTGCTGATGAAGATACTGTTGATGATGCCGCTGATGATGATGATGATGCTGATGCTGCTGCTGCTGCTGATGCTGATGATGATGCTGCTGATGATGCTGATGATGATGCTGATGATGATGATGATGATGATGATGATGATGGTGGTGATGATGATGATGATGATGGTGGTGGTGGTGATGATGATGATGTTGATGATGATGATG